GGTGTGCATACTACCCCAGCCTGGGATTATGGGTGTGCATACTACCCCAGCCTGGGATTACGGGTGTGCATACTACCCCAGCCTGGGGCGGAGAGTCTGAATGCAACATGAGAGAGACACACTTGCTTTCCGTAGCCATTGTTGCCACTGCCCCTACCCTTTTGCTCTTGCTCTTTTTCGCCATAATGAACTGCTGCCTTCTGCCATATGCCGCTCTGCCTTGGAACCAGCTGAGAATGAACTGAAACCTCCACTAACTGTGAGCTAAATAAACCTTTCCTTCCTTTATTTTGGGTGTCAGGTATTCGTCCCAGCAATAAGCAAAAAGTAACTGAGACAGGCACACTAAGAGATTAACAAAAATAACTGAATAGATTATAATGTACTGTAATTAAAGTTAGGCAAATGTAATCACTCTCAAACTACCTTCCTGTACTGTACCTGCTATGGCTGACCATGGGTAAACAAGACTCAGGTAACTAAAACCATGGATAAGGGAGCCTCCTGTCCCAGACAACACGAGGCTGGCACTGGTGGAGGTCAGTGGCTCTAAGTCACCATCTCTCACAGTAGGGTGCCAATCTGAAAACCTTATGCCAGCCATGAAGCCCAGAAAACGCACAAGCACAGAGTTTTGCGCCTAGCTCTGGGGGTTCACCAATTCCCTGGCATTCACTGAGTGACAAAGTTGGTCAAGTTACGAGCCATCTGGCCCAAAGGCTCTGGGTTGCCGCCACTTTATAGACTTTCCTTGGCTATGTAGACTAAAATCAAACTCCTTGGCAAAGCTTTAATAAGTGGAAAGGAGAAGGGCTGAAAGAAGGGGAAGAGAATGGGAGAGAAAAGTAGAATCAAGATACACTATGTACAGCTGCAAATTCTCTATGATGAATGCGATCATTATGTACATCAAAAGTGCACCAATAAAGTTAATTTTTAAAAAACTCCTTACAAATATTCAAATTGGGAGAAGGAACTGGGGGGAGAGGAAAAGGAAGGGAAAAGTAAAAAAAAAAAAAAAGGAAATAACACTTTTGTAAATAAGGAGCAGAAGAGGGGTTAAAGAGAGGGTACGGGAATGGGGAAAAGAAAATCAAGTTATATTATGTACAGATACAAATTCCCAATAATGAATGTGATCATTATGTGTAACTAAGATGTACCAAAAAAATAATTGTATTTGAAAAAAAGAAACCCAACTCCTCAGATTTATCTTGTTTCATTCCCTTCCCTTAAGAGCCTGCCTTAAGTAGATTCATTTCGGTTTTTGACAACAGATGTAATCAACTAAAATAAAATAGGTGTTGTCAGCAATTTTCCCTTTTGAATTTTCTCCCGTTATCTTTTCCATAAAATTCTCCCAATAGCCATTGCTTTCACCAATACCTAGCTCATACTCATCTCTCCACAGATGCTGACTGGACCCTCACAGTGAATACATGAATCAACACATGAACGGTCCAAGGGGTTTGTTTTCTTCTCTGAGACAACATGCTCATATTTGTGTTCTTGGA